CACTTCCGCCACCCACTTTCGCCACCCACTTTCGCCAACCACTCTCGCCACCCACTTTCGCCACCCACTTTCGCCGCTCACTTTCGCCACCGACCTTCGCCACCCGCTTTCGCCACCCACTTTCGCCACCCACACTCGCCACCCACTTTCGCCACCCACCCACCCCCAGTCGCGCCACCCACTTCGCCACCCACTTTCGCCACCCACGCCACCCCACTCGCCACCCACTTTCGCCACCCACTTCGCCACACCCACCCACACCCGCCACCCACTTTCGCCACCCACTCTCGCCACCCCACTTTCGCCACCCACACTCTCACCACCCACACTCGCGCCACCCACTTTAGCCACCCACTTTCGCCACCCACTTTAGCCACCCACTTTCGTTCGCCACGCACTTTTGTTCGCACCCCATTTCCGTTCGCCACCCACTTTCGTTCGCCACCCACCTTCGTTCGCCACCCACTTTCGTTCGCCACCCACTTTTGCTCGCCACCCACTTTCGTTCACCACCCACTTTCGTTCGCCACCCTCTTTCGTTCGCCACCCACTTTCGTTCGCCACTCACTTTCGTTCGCCACCCAATTACGTTCGCCACCCTCTTTCGTTCGCCACTCACTTTCGTTCGCCACCCACTTTCGTTCGCCACCCACATTCGTTCGCCACCCACTTTCGTTCGCCGCCCACTTTCGTTCGCCACCCACTTTCGTTCGCCGCCCACTTTCGTTCGCCACCCACAAAGTGGATGGCGAAAGTGAGTGGCGAAAGTGGGTGGCGAAAGTGGGTGGCGAAAGTGGACGTCGAAAGTGGATGGCGAAAGTGGGTGGCGAAAGTGGGTGGCGAACGTGGGCGGCGAAAGTGGGCGGCGAAAGTGGGCGGCGAAAGTGGGTGGCGAAAGTGGGTTGCGAGAGTGGGTGGCGAAAGTGGGCGGCGAAAGTGGGTTGCGAAAGTGGGTGGCGAATGTGGGTGGCGAAAGTGGGCGGCGAAAGTGGGCTGCGAAAGTGGGTTGCGAAAGTGGGTGCGAAAGTGGGTTGAAATGCGAAAGTGGGTGGCGAAAGAGGGCCGGGGGAAGTGGCGGCGAAAGTGGGTGGAGAAAGTGGGTGGCGAAAGTGGGTGCGAAAGTGGGCGAAAGTGGGTGGCGAAGTGGTGGCGAAAGTGGGTGGCGAAAGTGGTGGCGAAAGTGGGTGGCGAAAGTGGGTGGCGAAAGTGGGTGGCGAAAGTGGGCGGCGAAAGTGGGTTGCGAAAGTGGGTGGCGAAAGAGGGCCGGGGAAAGTGGGCGGAGAATGTGGGTGGAGAAAGTGGGTGGCGAAAGTGGGTGGCGACAGTGAGTGGCGAAAGTGGGTTGCGAAAGTGGGCGGCGAAAGTGGGTGGCGAAAGTGGGTGGCGAAAGTGGGTGGCGAAAGTGGGTGGCGAAAGTGGGTGGCGAAAGTGGGTTGCGAAAGTGGGCGGCGAAAGTGGGTGGCGAAAGTGGGTGGCGCGAGTGTGGGTGGCGAAAGTGGGGGTTGCGAGAGTGTGGGTGGCGAAAGTGGGTGGCGAAAGTGGGTGGCGAAAGTGGGTGGCGAAAGTGGGTGGCGAAAGTGGGTGGCGAAAGTGGGTGGCGACAGTGAGTGGCGAAAGTGGGTGGCGAAAGTGGGTGGCGAAAGTGAGTGGCGAGAGTGGATGGCGAGAGAAGGTGGCGAAAGTGGGTGGCGAAAGTGTGTTGCGAAAGTGGGTGGCGAAAGTGGGTTGCGAAAGTGGGTGGCGAAAGTTGCTTGTCGTGAATAAGCTGTACCTTGTCGTGTTTCAGTTTTCTCTTGTCGTGTTTCAGTTTTCCGAGTCGTGAGAACACCCTAGTTTTGGCTCTTGCCCGCTCCCAGGAGGCCCCCAAAAAGGTCCCAAAAGGCACCGACAACCGCAACACCCACGACCCTCGAACCTCGATCCTCCTTCCCTCAGATCTGACGTTGCAAAACACAAATACAGCATCACAAACAATCACCATCGGAGCACGCATCTTTCTCTGTCATGCTTCGAGCCGGATCGATCTGAGAGGGTCCCATTTCACAAGCTGAGCGAAAACGTCCGTTGTGAAAGAATGGCAACGCCAGGATCACAGGGTTTTCCTCCCTCCTGCACCCTCTGCCTCCTGCGGGTCGACGGAATGGCGCACCTGAGCCTCCAGTATAGACGCTCGCCGGGTCCTGCGGATCCACGCCGCGCCACCTCGGCCGACCGAAAACCCACGGGGAACTGCAGAATTTCGGAAGTCGACGTCGGTTTCCAGAAGACGCTATTCTCAAGTCAGCCTCAGAGAACTGCGTGTTTTGAAGGTCGAACTCGACGTCCCAAAACTCGCAGTTCTCTCAGGCCGATTTTCGAGTAGGAGATCGACTAAATAGTTGATTTACCCTACAATTCAAGTTCCCGCCGAAATCGACGAGACAACCATGTAAAATGGTCGTAAACCTATGCGCACCTTGCATATTTTCGTAGTTTCGGCGACATGTTCAATTTTGGGGTGAATCCATATGTAGTCGATCTCTCACTCGAGACTCGAGTACAGCACAAGGGACTCTTGGCCCCGAAATTGAACAGGGACCAACGTCCCGGCATTTCTACAGGCGTACCACGAAGTGTTCGCAGAACCAAGACATGTTCTAAGAACAACAACAGTGTTCTTAGAACATAAACCCAATGTGTTGAACCAAGACAGACTCAGCCAAAAATATTCTACGAGCATTCCGTGCAAACCAAACAAGGCCCTTCGAACATGACTTGGTAGGCCTATAGGCGAGCCAGGACGCTTCGCCACTGCTTGACAAAGGGGACGGTGCGTGGCAGCTTCGCGCCTTGGGCCCCTCCTCTCCTCCTCCTCCCTCTCCTCCCCACCATCCTCCTCCTCCTCCTCCTCCTCCTCCTCCTCCTCCTCCTCCTCCTCCTCCTCCTCCTCCTCCTCCTCCTCCTCCTCCCCCTCTCCCCTCCTCCTCTTCTCCTCCTCCGCTCTCCTCCATTCTCCTCCTCTCCTCCTCCCCCTGCTCCTCTCCATCCTCCTCCTCTCCCCTCCTCCTCTCCTCCTCCACGCTCCCCTCCATCCTCCTCCTCTCCCTCTCCTGCTCCTACCCTCCATCCTTCCCTCTCCCCTCCTCCTCTCAGACTCCACCTTCTCCCCTCCAACCTCCGCTCCCCATCGTCCTCTGCTCCTCTACCTCTTTCTCCTCTTTCTCCTCCTCTTTCTCCTCCTCTTTCTCCTCCTCCTCCTCCTCCTCCTCCTCCTCCTCCTCCTCCCTCCTCCTCCTCCTCCTCCTCCTGCTCTCCTGCTCGGCTTCCAACTGGGCGACGATCAGAGACGGGTCTGCCGCGAGATGGCAAAGCGACCACGCGGCGGCTTACGCGGGGCGCCGGCGCGGCACGCTACGTAAGAAACGAGGGCGCTTACGCGAAACCTTGTGCTGGCAATTTACTCGCCAATGTCGGGGTGAAGACGACCCAGTTTTCTTCCGTCGCTCAACTGCTTATCAACCTCCTCCTCCTCCTCCTCCTCCTCCTCCCCCTCCTACTCCTGCTCCTCCTCCTCCTGATTCACCTCCCCCCCTCCTCCTCGCCTACCACACTTTCATCATGCCCAGACTCTCGTCAACCACGCTGGGCGCTTGCGACCACCGTGCTACCCAGGGTGGTGACACCAAGAACCTGGGCTTACTGAAGGGCTTGAGGCGCCCCGCAACTATCACATGAAATTCCCCTAACACAAAAAATAGACTGGCGAAGGACCTAACCATACGCATGAGTGAGTCCCTTGTGGGTCATGACGCGTGTGAAGGGTGTGCCGAGATGGGTGCGGCGGGCGCATGCGAACGTATCCAATGGGGCCTTCGGTGGAGCTCCCTATCGGGCCACGAAGCATGTGAGGGGTGTGCCGAAATGTGTGCGGCGGGCGCAGGCGAACGCAGCCACTGGGGCCTTCGGTGGAACTCCCTATCGGGCCACGAAGCGCGTGAGGGTGCAGCGAGCGCATGCGAACGTATCCAATGGGGCCTTGGGTGGAGCTCCTTATGGGGCCACGAGGCGTGTGCGGGGTGTGCCGAAATGTGTGCGGCGGGCGCATGCGAACGCACCCACTGGGGCCTTCGATGGAGCTCCCGATCGAGCCACGAGACGCGCGAGGGGTGCGCGTGAGGGGTGCGCCGAGATGGGTGCGGCGGGCGGATGCGAACGCAACCACTGGAGCCTTCGGTGGAGCTCCCTATGGGGCAACGAAGCGTGTGAAGGGTGTGCCGAGATGGGTGCGGCGGGCGCAGGCGAACGCAGCAAATGGGGCCTTGGGTGGAGCTCCGTATGGGGCCACTAGGCGTGTGAGGGGTGTGCCGAAATGTGTGCGGCGGGCGCATGCGAACGCAGCCACTGGGGCCTTCGGTGGAGCTCCCTATCGGGCCACGAAGCGTCTAAAAGGTGTCCCGACATGAGTGCGGCGGGCGCATGCGAACGCTGACAGTTGGGCCTTCGGTGGAGCTCCCTATGGGGCCACGAAACGTTTGGGGGGCGTGCCGAAACAGGGGGAAGAGGAGGGGAAGGAAGGAGGAAGGGGAGGAGGAGGAGGAAGAGGAGAGGAGAGGAACGCGGGGACCGTCTCGTCAAAACGAGGATCCAACTCCATAGGATGGTTGGGAAAATAAACACAACAACGACAGCAGCAGCAACGACAACGACAACGACAACATCAACAATAATCATGTTAAGACTGCTCGCTCTGATCCGCTCGAGTGTCATTCAGCGCGTATATCCCAAACCCTCGATACCCGCCCTCTTCGTCTTCAATCGTACCCTTTCTGGGGGGTATATACGTCTTCCTTGCAGGCCGGGCCCCGGCAAACGGCGGGGCGGCCGCGAACCGTTGGCCGGGCAAGCGGCAGCGCTGATTGGCGACAACCCGACCCCAAGAGGGACGGACAGGGTACCGACCACGACGACGACGACGACGGCGGCGACGGCGACGACGGCGGACGAAAGCGAAAGCGAGAGCGACAGCGACAGCGGGGTCACGAAGGGCAGGGAGGGGGTGGGCCACGAACGGCGACAGCGGGGCCACGAAGGGCATGCATATGGGGCCACGACAGGCGCGGACGAGCGGGGGCCAAAACGTCAGACAATGCGGGGGCCACAGAGGGCAACGACGGGGCCACTGAGGGTAGCGACGGGGCTGCGTGGAACAGCGATGGGGCCACAAAGGGCGACAGCGGGGCACAAAGGGCATGCATATGGGGCCGCGACGGGCGCGAACGAGCGGGGGGCACGAAGAGCAAGCGTATATTGGGCCGCAGAGGGCAAAGACGGAGCCACTGAGGGCAGCAACGGGGCCGCAAAGGGCAGCGAGGGGGCCACGAAAGGCAACGGCGGGGCCACGAAACACATGCATATGGGGCCACGACGGGCGCGAGCGAGCGGGGGCCACGAAGGGCATGCATATGTGGGACACGAAGGGCCGCGAGGGGGCCACGAAGGGTTGCAACGAGGCCACGAAGGGCAGCGAGGGGGCCACGAAAGGCTGCAACAGGGCCACGGCGGGCAGCGAGGGGGCCACGGAGGGCTGCGGCGGGGCCACTGAGGGGAACGACTGGGCCATTGAGGGGAACGACGGGGCCACTGAGGGCAGCGAGAGGGCCATGAAGGGATGCAACGGGGCCGCGAAGGGCAGCGACGGGCCACGAAAGGCTGCAACGAGGCCACGAAGGGCAGCGACTGGGCCACTGAGGGCAGCATCGGGGCCACGAACGGCAGCGACTGGGCCACAAGAAGAGGAGCCACGAAGGGCGGCAATGAGGCACAAAGGGCGCGAGCGAGCATGGGGCACGAAGGGCATGACCCCGACGGGCGGGCCGAGCGGGCGGATCGTTCGTGAGTTCTGGGTGGCTAACCAAGAACTGTCCAGCGAGAGAGCGAGTCCGAAGTAAATTCGAAGAAGTCCCCAGCGAACGCGCAATTCCTGAATGGCACGAGCGCGGCGCCTGAATAAGTTGCGTGGAAGTCTCAGGCGGGAGCGCGATTCTTGAGTAAATTGCGAGGAAGTCTCAAGCGGGAGCGGGGAACTGGAGTAAATATCGAGGAAGTGTCCAGCGGGAGCCGCTGTTGTTGTAAACGGGGGGCCAACAACCCGGTTTGAGGAGGAAGACTTTCCCTGCTAAGAAAACGGGCGCGAGCGCCAGAGGGGCACTTCAATGTGAAAACAAAGTGTGCATGGGAGGGGGGGTCAACAATAATCAACCTTCAGAAATGAGAGCTCAACGACAATAACAACAATCATTACAAGACTGTTCGCTCTTACTTGCCCGCGTGTCATTCAAAACGAATTACCCACACCATCGATACCCGCCCTTTTTGTTGATCGCACCCCCTTTGGGGGGATTGTTTCTCTTTGCGGGGGGCGGCGGGCTTAGACAGGCGGGCAAACCTGAACGGGCGGACAATCCTGCGTGGGCGTACATGTGCCCGAGATTGGAATTGATGTGGGCCCTGCAAAAGAAGGGGGGGAAGAACGAGGGAGAGCGGAAGGAAAGGAGGGGGGGACGAAGCAAGAGGGAAAACGCCAGGAGAGAAGGAGCGAAGAGGGGGCGGTTGATTAGATGAGAGAGGGAGAGAGAGAGAGAGAGAGAGAGAAAGACATATATAGAGAAAGGGAAAGGGAATAGAGAAAGGTATAGAGGCGGGTAAGAGGGGTATAGTGAGAAAGAGGAACAGACATATACATATATATAAGAATAATAATAAGAAGAAGAAGAAGAAGAATAATAATAACGATAATAATAATAATAGTAATCCTAATAATAATAATACGAATAATAATAGTAATAAAAATAATAATAAAACAACTAATAATAATAATATCAATAATAACAACAATAATAATAATAACAACAATAATAATAATAGTAAAAATAATAATAAGAAGAAGGAGAGAGAGGGAGGAGGCAGGAGAGGGGAGGGAGAACGGAGGAGGGAGAGGAGGGAGAGAGGATTGGGCAGAGAGTCGTAAGGATGAGGGAAGAGAGGAGGGAGAGAGAAGGGAGGAGAGGAGGGAGGAGGGAGGAGGGAGAGGGAGGAGGAGCAGAAGGTAAGAGCGTGAATGCCCGAGGAAATCCTAAGCGAAACCGCCGTTCCTGAAGGAAGGGCGGGAACCCACGAAGGGCGGGCGATTTCCTGACGGGCGGGTCGGGCGGGTGGGACATTCA